GGCGACCTACTTGTGAAGGCAGTGGATGCCACAAGGTTCTTCAAAATGATGGCATTCTGTTCGGCCATCTCATCCGTAGCAAGGAATACCTCGGCAATCCCGTGGGCATTCGACCTCAGCTGTGCTATGCGCGAAGCATTAACAGCCACAATGGAGGCCGGGGGTTTGGGTGATTGCGCGACCGTGCTGACTGATAGCCTGCCGGGTGTTGACGGCGTCAGGCATGGCTGTTTGTTCTCACCGCCAATGCCACAATCAGACGTTTTTGGTTGGCTGGCCAACTCCTGGGGGTGGGGGGATGAAAAATAGGGCTGATTAGTCATTGGAGAGGGACAGTTGCAAAGGGTCGCTGATACAAGCAGTAGGTGTGCTTCCTCATGAAACGCTAGAAGCAATTCTAAAATGTGTGTGCATAAATAGAATCCTACTGTAAGCTATCACAGAGTATTAAGATATCGGCCTTTGAACAAGTTTCTTTATAGCTGTCTTTAATAACCTCAAATGCTAAGAAATAGCTATATATATCTGGCTGTTAATATGCGCAAAGATTCGAGGTCCAGATATAATACTGCCGGGGATGAAGGCAATATCTGTCCACATATATATCTACCACATATATCTAGTCCTCATAAATCCAAGCATATTTAACAGAAGGTAGAACTATCCTATCCTATCTGTTTGCGAGAACTTACGTCTTCTTAAAATTGTAGCCCTGAACAAATGATAGCTTTCGAGTTAAAAGCCTCTCGAAATTCCTGAGTAATTTTGAATCAGCGTTTTAAAGGTGCAATTTGCGTATTTTCTCTTTGAGGAAAACCTTGTATTTATATATGAAAATAGGAAATAGCATTCATGATGTTAGTCAATTTTTCAGTAAACTTGGAACATACGGTATACTTTAAAGACGACATTCATAAATAGAAAGATACGATGCCTTATAAAATAACATTTTGCACTCTTAAAAATCTCATAAATATAAACATTTTTGAAAACCAGACATAAAATTTCAAGATAACGCAATGGCTATCAGACAACTGCTAAAAGGCGTATTTACATTCAGGTTCGTTGTTAAATGTTTTCAAAATTTTCAGGTACTGAAATTTCATTGGAAAAATGCACATTTCTTAGGTAGTCGTTTTGAATAAAACATAAGTCTAGCCGCTTACTTAAAAGCCAGCATCCTGATATGAGTGAAATATCTTAGAATTTTGCTGTGCAAAAATTCATATTAAAAGCTCTGCGTAAGTAAATGTTTCGGTGGAAGTTAAATTTAGGTCCCCAGAATTGTTTTCATAATCTAATGTTTGGCACGCCATAAATAAAAGAGAAATACAACTTATAGTTTATTTTATTTTTCTGTTTACCTTTAGTTCTAGATTTATTTTTTAGTTTATTTAGTTAAGTTACTGCTAGCTTACCTTTATTTGGTAGTTTAGGCAGGTGTTAATTTATTTTTCACTTCACTCTACCTTCT